TTAGAGGCCAGCCCAGCCCTAACTCACGACAGCTGACGCGGAGCTGGGAGCACCAGGAACTGCAGCACGTGGTGCCTGATCCTGAGCCACGGGGCACCATCCGAAGAGAGTGGCAAGGGACAGTCGTAGCAGATCCCCTACGGCAGGTGACAGAGGCTCCCCACCTGCTGAGAGGTTCTGTCATCTAGGAAGGTTTGCCTTTAACTCGTGAAATTAAATGCTTTGCAACATGCTAGACCTAAAGTATAACAAAACTGGCCTGTTCCGACGGCACAAATTGGGCAGTTCAAGTTATACAGCCACACTCCCTTGGAAGATCTTTTTGAGAAGCTCTTCAGTCCAATGAGTAACAACAACAACAAAAGACACTGAAAAATTAGTACAACGGATTTGAAACTTTCGCTTGAAATTCGAGCAATGAAAAATATATTAATGGTTATAATGATGAAACTAGAATCAGCAGAGAACAATTATTTCTACTCCTCTATTTGTGACTAAAAATAGCAGTAACAGCACATTTCATGGCTATACAACAGCATGTTTTGCTTCAAATCATGGGCAGCAGTATTAGACTCTCCAGTAGGAAAATTAAGAAACCTTATGGTCACACCACAGCATGCTTGCAAAAAAACCAGAAAACTGAAATTCTGTCCATGCTTTTAGCCAACATGGAGCTCTACCCTGTTTCTAAGTGAGCAGCAGAAGACTGAGCTGAAATAGCTTCTATTTAATTCAGCCTAAAGCTTTAACATGTCCTTAGCCAGAGCTGTTTGTTGGACCATTAAATATCTAAAAACTTCCCTGTTGTTTCATTTTTTAAATTTCATAAAAATGAGAACAAAGCACATGAATGACAGAAAATATATCCAAGGATGGTAGTTTTTCCACAAGTCGTATTTTAAATGAAAAGCACTTAATTGTTGCATCATTTTGAGGAATAATTTAAAAAAAAAAAAAAAAAAAAAAAAGGCAATGTGCTTACATCTCTCACACGTTTCATTCAAATTGTCCCGCATTGCCTGCTCACACTTGGGAAGAACGTGTTCATTTGTTTCAAAGACTGTGCTCTTCAGGTTTTCAAGTACTCGCAGTTCTCGGAGGCCACGTTTTTCCTGCCAGAGAGATCGAAAGAAGAAGTGTGGCTAACAAGGAATTCCACTTCCCAAAAGAAGATGGTTTCCCGGTTGAAAAACTAGTATCTCTATCTCAAAGATGGTACCATTGTCTAAGAAATTGTTACTCTATTTAGCTAGCACAACTGATAAAATTGGGTTTGTGAAAAAAAAAAAGAAAAGAAAAAAGGAGTGGTAATGCTCCGTTCTTCACACTAAATTACACTAATATGTTGAATGACACTTCTGAACCCTGTGAGAAAAGTTCGTATTTACCAATGAAAACATGTAGAAAACCACGTTGCTTTGAATAGATAATTTACACCATATCAAAAACAAAGGAGAGAAACAGAGCTTGAAAACACTGTATTTTTATAACTTAATTATTACAGGGAAATAACACAGCAGTGATTTTGCTTGCTTGATGTCTGGCGTTCCAGATTTATCATGCTATGACTTTAAAACAATGCAAGTATACTTGTTTTTACCGAAGTAAATCAATGAAGTTGAGACTAAAAAACCAATGTAACACAGCTGACTAAGAGGCAGTCCTTCTGGCTCATTCTTGAGCATGATTAACTACAAGAAGAACAAGCTCTTTACAGCTTACATATGAAAAAAAAAAACCAAACTATTTTTCTGAAGCCCCAGCACCGATTTTTCTCTGAATTTCATCTGTGCTTTCCTTTAGACAAGAAAAAGGATTCCGAAATCTGCTCCAGAATGCTGCCTGCCTCCTTGCTATTCTACCTCCCTCTTCAGAGTCATGAGTTGCACACAAGGATTCCTGGACTGAAAGTTGTGAATCATAAAGCAATTCTAGAGAATTCAAAAATACTGTATCACACGAAGTGGGCAACTGGATCATCGTACTCATTTTAAAATTTCAGAAACAGAGGCACTGACAAGTCAAATTGCTTAATTAAACAGGCTCCAGGCTTCCTGAATGCAAATCTACATTCTCTACACACTAGGTGCTGATCATTGAAAGAAAAAGCATACGTCCTACTATAACCAAAAAAATACGACGTTGTAAAGTCAGAAGCAAGTGTAATTTCTGAAAGAGATCCTACGTTGCAAAAACGTAAACAATTTGCTGCTTTGCTACTTCCCCCCAAAAGTATAAACCAGAAATTAAATTTCAAGACAAGACGAAATTTGTCTGTCAAACTGAACAAGACGTTGGGTACAATGGGAAAAATATATGAACTACAAACACGAGTTCCAATTTTTCTTCCTAAGTAACTCTATCCTGTAACTTATTTAGGGAAGGCAAAGAAAAGAAATCACTCCTTATGACTCTCAAGCCCCTACAATACACATCTGATGAGAGTTTAGATCACATACATATTTTTTTAAACCAGTACAGACACATTAGACCTGCTTGAAACACGAGCTACAATCTAGGGAGAGGGGGGAAGACACACTGGGAATCTGAGGTTTAACTGTATTTTCAGGACTAATTTTAAGGTCTTACATTCCACATTCTGTATGAAAGAAAATCTATCTGGGAATAGCCTTTGGTTGACACCGGATTCTACTTTTCTAAACGTTTGCTGCCACCTCGTGGAAAACACTTTATTTTCCAAGTAAAGTTGTACGGGAACACTTTGACACTTTCAGTACTTCAGGCTTATTTGTAGCCGATCAGGTAACACTCACTTTGCTTTTAATGATTTTCTTACTTTGCATAAAGTGTCGCTCTCCTCTCCCAGTAAGGCTACTGGCTTTCATGGAACAAAAATTAAAGCAAAATTAAATTACAACTGTGCTAGCTGAATCCAGCTGGAGCAAAAAGCAGTTTCTTAATCAGATATACCTATACGAGCCAACAATATTTTCCTTGAACCAACTAGGCCTCTTTGAGGTGTGAGAACCTCATCATTCTCCTACATCAATATTCCTCCCGAGCTTTTGCAGGGAAAATATCCATGCCCCTTTCAAAACTTTTTATTTAAAAAGAGTTAAATGACTGCCTTGTTTACTAAAGATGCAGAGATATACGATAGGTGTGTTTAGTTATTTGGGCAAGAAATACATTTTCTGAAGAAAATTACATACATACAATCTCTAAAAAGACGCTAAAACTGCTTGAAGCCTCTAACTCTGAACACGACAGCACCCAATAAGATGCAAATACTTACTTCAAATTCTTTAACAAAGTAACGTATTTCTCCCTGGATTACTGGTCTGTGATCGAGCAGTCTGGAATAGATCTCCCCAAGATCTAGAAGGTGAACGACAGACAAGTTTTTAGTTCTTCCCTCTCGCTGCACACCAGGCCGCACCGCACAAGCCCACATGCCCAGCTGGAAGGCGGGGGGCGGCCTGCTGCTGGCCAGACACCCCCTAAACCCACAGAGCACCAGGACAGCGTTTGTTTGGGCCTGTTCCGCATCCCCCCCCCCCCAGCCGAGATGAAACGCTACGAAGCGGTGCTCTGGGTGTGGCAGCCGCCTTTCTGGGAAGGCGAACCTTCTCCTGCCTCTCAGCACCCTCTGGTCAACCCTCCT